CGGGGGATGGGGCGGGTACAGCTGGCTCTGCCTCTAGATAGGCAGAGCCAGCTGTCACTAACGCAGCTGGGTGGATCTCGACAGCATTGTCAGGATCCGTCCCGGCGGTCTCAATATACCACGAGCTGTAGCTCCCTATATACTGAGCTTAGGGTGACGGGAGGACGCTAGTTTGTGTTCTCCTGTGACCCCTAAGAGAACTATGGGGAAAAACACTGACCTCATAGTTCTCCTTTACGTTATTGCTACAAAACAAACCCATAGTGGAAATGTAAAGATTTCTCTTCCCCTCAAGGGGTATAAAGGTACGAGAGTGGAAGTGGTTACTACGCCAGTCATTTTCTCTCCACCTCCCACATATCCCAGTTATAACTAAGGTGCATCTTGATGTTAATACCAGTAAAATCGAAGCATGCGGATGCCCCTGAAGGTGATCGCTTTCTATAAATATTAGGGATGCACTGATACCATTTTTTTGGTATCAAGTACAGATATTTTTGATACTCGCCGATACTGCTGCTTCCGCTGGCATGGAACCAGCTTCCCAGCCAATCAGGAAACCAGGTGGCGAGTAATGACCCACCTCCCGTCTTCCTGTTTAGCCAGGAAGCTGGTTCGATGCTGATTGACCAGGAAGCCAGCTTCCCAGCCAGTCAGCAAGGAGCCGGTATCGCTGCATCCCTAAAAAATATGCCCCAAAGTAACAATGATGACACCAACCACATCAGTTTTAAAGCAGATGAAGCCCATCTAGAGTGTAGCTGTTACTCAATGCCCCTCGTTAATTATGTTGCAGTACAAGGCACTGAGTGGCTGCTAAACAGGAAAAAGGGATACATAGACTTTACCTTATATTATTAATTGCAACCTTCAGATTTAAGGGGATGAGCTGGGATGCGTACTCCAAAAGGTCCAAACCATTCAGTCCATTGAGGGACAAAAGGTAAGTCCTGTAAAGGCCACAAGTCGCTGGAGTCTTGATGTGACTATGAACACTATGTGATGGTAATGATTGGCCCAGAGCTGACACAAGGAGCAAGTCACATGCTCCTCCATACCGGAAAGCACACAGCATGGTATTGGGAGGGAGGGAAAAGCAATTATATACAGCTGGGATAAGGGGGATTGAAACAAACCTGTTGCCGGAAAGAGCAGCGCACAGGTTTGCTTTAAGCTGGTAACCATCGTCACCAAGAATGAAAGTGAGGGGGAATCCAACATTTTAGAATTGTCTACAAAACAAGAGGTAATGATGTTCTGTACTGTAGAGACAAGTCTATAATTCTGCTACTTTACAGATCGCTGGTTCGGCCTCATCTGGAGTACGCGGTCCAGTTTTGGTCACCGATCCACAGAAAGGATGTCCTGGAGCTGGAGAGAGTCCAGAGAAGGGCAACTAAACTAATTAAGGGGATGAAGGACCATAGCTATGAGACAAGGCTACTAAATTTAAAACATGTTCCCGCTGGAGGTGCGGAGATTGAGGGGGGACATGATTTTGATGTATGAGATGTTCAATGGTGATGTCAACATCAGCAATAAACTTTTTACGGTAAACTCCATAACAAGGACTTGAGGCCACCACCTAAAACTGGTGGAGAAAAGATTTCAGCACAAGGGACATAGGGGCTTCTTCTCAGTTAGAGCGGTTAGGGTCTGGAACTCTCTGCCGCAAGCAGTGGTATCAGCTGAGAGTGTTGAATCATTCAAAATGCATTTGGACAATTTCCTCAGAGACCTTAACATACATCGATACAGGTACTCTTAAAAATTAAGATCACACAGGGACTCGTACACACACATACACATGCACAATCACATACATACACGCAATAGGTTGAACTCGATTGACCTGTGTCTTTAGTCAACCTCAAATACTATGTAACTATGATGTCTTCCAATGGGGACACCTGTCTACGACAGAAGTTCCTCTCACTTTGGAGATTCCCTCTAACTTCCTGTTGCGTCTCTGAGGCAGGAAGCGAAAGGAAATCCACCCAATAGGACACAAAACAGCAACAACAACAAAAAACCACCAGGGGTTTTAACCCTTCCTACTCTAACTAAAAATACGTTTTGGCTATAAATACACTTTCACTTGTACTTCATATCCATTGAAACAAAGAAGTCTCTTAGAAAATTGGCACAACATCAAACTGGTAAAGAGGACCTTTCACCAAAATGGAAGGTTTACTTCACTCACAGCCCACCACCCACCAAATACAAAAAGACATTCAAAATAAAGTTCATCTATTCCAGGCTTCCGAGAGGGGTGGGTGATGTCTCCATGCCTCCAAGGAGAGCTGGGTGCTCAAAATTTCATAAGGATGCTCCCCAGTCCATGGCAGGAGCCCATTCTCATGGGATATTGAGCACCTAGAAAGGGAATTTAATGATACATTTACATTCTGTGTTCTGTAGATAGATAGAGAGAGAGAGAGAGAGAGAGAGAGAGAGAGAGAGAGAGAGAATTACTATTATTTTGTATTGCAGGCTTACCACCTCACTTCCACTACAGACAACATAATGTCGAGGATAAATGAGACTCAAGTTCCCTTTTTTCTATTCTCTGGACTGACCGATGATGGAAGGCTCGCCCCATTCCTCTTCATATTCTTCACACTTGTATATGCCGTGACTGTTATTGGCAATGCTGGCATGATAACTCTGGTCCACACCACCTCCAGCTTCCACACCCCAATGTATTATTTCTTGAGTTACCTGTCCGTGGTTGACCTGTGCTACTCCTCTGTGATAACGCCTAAGATGCTGTGTGACCTGTGGTCCAGGATGAAGTCCATCTCATACAATGGTTGCGCTCTTCAGCTATTTTTCTTCGCTGGCCTGGCAGTCACGGAGGCTCTTCTGCTGTCGGGGATGTCGTACGACCGATACGCCGCTATCTGCCACCCTCTCCACTATAACTCAATAATGACCAGGAAGAAATGTTGGGGGTTGGTCCTCCTGGCTTCATCCATTGGCTTCTTGCAGTCCTTGGTACAGACCAGCTGTGTGTTCAGTCTCCAGTACTGTGGCTCAAACATTATAGACCATTTCTACTGTGACATCCCCCCACTACTCAAACTGTCCTGCTCTAAAACATTACCATGTGACACTGTAACGGTCTTCTTCACGTGTTCCTGTGGTATAGGCTCCATGGTGTTGGTTCTAACGTCATACTCTCTCATAGTGGCTTCTATCTTACGGATGAAGTCAGCTGAAGGAAGACAGAAGGCCTTCAGTACATGCTCTTCCCATATCATGTGTATTTCCATCTTCTACGGGACTGTATTTTTCATCTACCTACGTCCTCCTACCGCTGCATTGGAGAAAAGAGACAAGGTGGTCTCCGTTTTCTATTCCGTGATTATACCCATGCTGAATCCACTTATATACAGCCTGAGGAACCAAGAGGTGAAAAAGATCATGATGAAGGTAATAAACAAATCTAACCAATAAGGATCCAACAATTGTCTTCATCCATGTCTTCCTGGTGCTTGTCCAGTTGACCAGAACAGAGAGGTCCAACTGCCCAGTGCACCAATTCAGCCAGGCCTTAGGGCATGACCACTATGTTCCATGCTCGACATCTCAGTAATGACCAGGAAGAAATGTTGGACCTCGGTTCTTCTTGCTTCTTCTTTTGACTTCTTGCATTCCTCTGTGCAGATCTGTGGTGTATTCAGTCTTCGGTACTGTGGATGGAGCATTATCTCAAGTCTCTCCTGGAGTTGTCCAGTTGACCAGACCAGCCATTACCAATGGTCCCAATGCTCAGCAACCAGGCTGTATGGGGTCTGATAACCTCAATATGCGAATAAATCGCACTCCTGATGACTATCCAAATTTTCCTGAAGTCTTAATGACAAATGATGGGCAAATTGTTTTCCACAAGTCTAAGAAAATCCAGCTGATTTGCTAAGAAGCACTTCTGGCTCAAGTTCACTCACCAACCCTATCTGGGCCCTTATCTGGTAAAGTGCTCCAGACGACCAATTAAGAGGTCACTTCTGGTACTGGCAAAGAACTCAGTGAGCCACCCCATTTTAGGAGCATGTCAAATGCTCCTATCCCTGTTGCAACCACTCAGCTCCATCTGGTGGTTGCCTCTTGTAATTGCACCTACCAGGTCAGCTGCAAGCTGGTCAGGCTTATCAGTCCGGCTAAATGCTGCTCACAGCCTGGGCGTTGGTTAGTTGTGCTCTATTTAAGCATCACAAGCCCAGGGCTATGGGCTTGTGGCAGTTCCAGCCTTGTCTTGTCTTGTTCTGTCTACACGAGCCTTTATCCTGAATCCCAGTCCTGCCTTGATCGTGTATCCCAGCCTTGCCTTGGCTCTTTAATCCTATACCTGTCTTCCATCTCGTATTAGTTTCTGACTTGTACCTTGACATCAGGCAGTACTTCTCCTTGTTCCTGGGGTCCAGCCTTTGGCATCACCTGATCAAAACATATAGTCTATGTCCTGGGGGCATCCAAGTACCGGTAGGCGTGCTTGCCTTAGGGGAACGGCGGCTGCTAAAGGTGAAACTATTTGTCGCTATTGGCTTTGACAGAGTGCGTCCACAGCTGGTCCTGACACCGCAAACCAAGGAGTGTGAAGGAAAACTCACTTTGAAGGGTGTTAGGATGCCCAAATAAAGAAGGTGGTATACTTCCGCCAAGGGTTCTGTCCTAAGCAAAACAAATGGCAAACGCACTCATCAATTTGTCACCAGCTTTACAGCGAGGTGCACACGGAAGGGCCTTATACAGTACAACAGCAAAAAGTTTCCTAGCACACTCACCAGCCAGCATGCAAAAAAAACTTGTCTCACCGCTAAGGTTAAAAACAGAGGATTTAGATACACGTCTTCTGCAGAAAATGGGAAAGCCGCACAGCCGCGCCAAGGCACCTCTATATAGTGCGGTCCTAATTCTAAACTATGAGAGTCTCCATCTTGGAGCACATGGGGCAAAAGATAAAACTGGGTGCAGGTTTGTCAGGAGGAAGACCAACCTCCCTTAAAGTTTAATGTTAGGACCGCACTATATAGAGGTGCCTTGACGCGGCTGTGCGACTTTCACATTTTCTGCAGAAGACGTGTATCCAAACCTCTGTTATTAACCTTAGGGGTGAGACAAGTTTTTTTTTTTTTTTGCATGCTGGCTGGTGAGTGTGCTGGAAAACTTTTTGCTGTTGTCCTGTATAAGGCCCTTCCATGTGCACCGTGCTGTAAAGCTGGTAACAAATTGATGAGTGCGTCTGCCATTTGTTTTGCTTGACTGATTTGGTGCAGTGACGCATGGGGGGGTCTCAGCTGCCGTTGTGATGTGCGGGGTCCCTTGTGCGTACCTGTGCCTGTAAGGGAGGTTGGGCTTCCTCCTAATAAACCTGCACCCAGTTTTATCTTCTGCCCCATGTGCTCCAAGATGGAGACTCTCATAGTTTAGAGTTAGGACCGCACTATAAGAGGGGCCTTGGCGCGGCTGTGCGGCTTTCACATTTTCTGCAGAAGACGTGTATCTAAACCTCTGTTATTAACCTCAGTGGTGAGACAAGTTGTTTTACATGCTGGCTGGTGAGTGTGCTGTTGTACTGTCATACTAAGGGTGCACCTGTGCCCAAGCTATGGACATTAAACTATTTATATGTTATCATACACTGAGACTGATGTAACTGTGGGGGAGGGAGGACATTAGAGTGTGAGCTCCTCTGTACAGAGACTGATGTGACTGTGGGGGGAGGGGACATTAGAGTGTAAGCTCCTCTGTACAGAGACTGATGTGACTGGTTCAGTGTTCCCTGTACTCTCGTGCGACATAAAAAAATTGCAACTAGTATTTTTTTATTTTACAGTCTACAGGGCCTCCGCTTTCAGAACATATCTCATTGTTTGGGGGTCTGAAGCTGTTTTCTAGCCAAAAAATGTATATTTTATCATCATGTGTGCGCAAATAGTAAGAAAATGCCCCGGACAGGAAGTGGTTAAAGGAGAACTATGCGGGGGGGGGTGCTTTTCACTCACCTCATAGTTCTAGCCGACCTGTGACAATGAGACTGTCACAGGTGGGCTCAGTAGATCGGGAGGTGAGCGAACACATACCAGGTTCGCTCACCTCTCGATCCTGTCACGGCTCTCTGCCGTGACAGGGGGAGGGGCTGGATTCCCCTCTCCGATCTGCCAGCGCTGACTGGCGGAACGGATGGTGGAAAGGGCAGGTACAGCTGCCTCTAGAAAGGCAGAGCCAGCTGTCACTCACGCAGCTGGGCGGATCCCGTCATCTACATCGGGATCCGCTCTGGCTGCGGCGTCTCAGTATACCACGAGCTGTAGCTCCCTATATACTGATCCTAGGGTGACAGGAGGACGCTAGTTTGTGTCCTCCCGTTACCCTAAGGAGAACTATGGGGAAAAGCCCTGACCCCATAGTTCTCCTTTAAAGACAGAGCAGTGCAGACCTTTCAATTGCTTCTGAGTTGCGTTTGCACTGACTTCTACGAGAAGGGAAAACAATGTAAACACAATCCAATGTGAGCCAACAAACTGGACGTGAGGTAACGAGAGAAGACACTTTATTATTGTTCAGCAACTGTTACAATAAAGAAAAGAACTGGGAGAATGATTACTACAAAGATATTTACACTGTACAGCGATGGGAGGTCTCATACCGTCCACTTCAGACACCTGGAAGGAAACACAGACCAAGGTCAGTCAATATGGAAACACCGTGCACAGGATATGAAGGAGGCAGAGAAAGGGAACCGAGATATAAGTCACCTGGTCTCCTGGTGCGTCCCCAGACACTTCACGCAGCAATACCGCGCTCCGCATGACACACAGCAATAATTCGAGGGAAACCCGCACACGGAACAGAAATGACGCTGGGGGAAGTTTGACGGAAGTGCGCAGGCCGTCAGGTAATTGGGTCCCTCACTGGTACTCAAATTCTGCAACACAGGAAAGAAAACATTAGTCCTCCTGCAGGGTGATAGACAGAAGGTGGCTATGAGTCTCCTCCTCCTGCAGGGTGATACACGGTTGGTTACCTGTTCTTCTAGAAGTGCCTGGAAGTTCTTCCGGAATCTCAGTTTGAAATGGTCTCCTCGGGTTTTCTTCTTTTTCTTGCCTGACACAAACATAAGATTCACATTTCATTCTCGGGTCCTCCCACATGGAGGTGACATAAGAATCGCTGTACACAGAGCTCCTCCCTATACGTTGCGTCAGGTCTATGACATCACAATGCACATGCAACTTTCCTCTCACATCCATTTCAGCCAGGCCGACTTTCTACGTCTCCTCAAATGAACAATTCCTCATAAATCACTGGGAGGGAACCCTACAGAGAGCTCCAACCTGCGCAGGATCCGAATTATTACATATAACCCCCCTGATCCCCCCCCCCATTAGAAACCACCGGCCTATAGTAGTATGTCAAGAGTCTGTCACGGCCTCCCACAATGCCCTGCACCAAATGCGTTGTCACCAGGGAGTGGAGTCCGTCATGGCCTCCCACAATGCACTGCACTAGATGCGTTGTCACCAGGGAGGGGAGTCCATCATGGCCTCCCACAATGCACTGCATGAGATGCGTTGTCACCAGTCCATCACGGCCTCCCACAATGCCCTGCACCAGGTGATGATTTCACCAGGGAGGAGAGTTCGTCACGGCCTCTCACAATGCCCTGCACCAGGTGATGATGTCACCAGGGAGGAGAGTTCGTCATGGCCTCCCACAATGCACTGCACCAGGTGATGATGTCACCAGGGAGGGGAGCCTGGAACGGCCTCCCACAATGCACTGAACCAGGTGATGATGTCACCAGGGAGGGGAGCCTGGCACGGCCTCCCACAATGCCCTGCACCAGGTGATGTCACCAGGGAGCGGGGCCCTGCACGGCCTCCCACAATGCACTGCACCAGGTGATGATGTCACCAGGGAGGGGAGCCCGTCATGGCCTCCCACAATGCACTGCACCAGGTGATGATGTCACCAGGGAGGGGAGCCCGTCATGGCCTCCCACAATGCACTGCACCAGGTGATGATGTCACCAGGGAGGGGAGCCCGGCACGGCCTCCCACAATGCACTGAACCAGGTGATGATGTCACCAGGGAGGGGAGCCCATCTCAGCCTCCCACAATGCACTGCACCAGATGGCGTTGTCACCAGGGAGGGGGCGAGTCGAGAGAACCCACCGGTCTCGGCGTCGTCATCGAACTGCGGCAGGCGCTTGAGCTGCGGCAGGTTGGCGTGGGGGTCATCCTGGAAATTGTCCTTTTCCAAAGCTTCCAGCTGGCGGTTCAGGCGGCGCTGGCGGGTGGCGGAATCCAACACCCGCCTCAGGGAGGGGTCATTGGAGCGCACTGAGGAAACATGAGAAAAATAGGTATTAATACTCCACGATCATAGTTCACATTGCAAGCCAATAGCAGCACCGCCTCCTGTACTTCTACTAGCTGCATCAAGGTGGAATGATATTCAGTGATATAGGCGGATACGTGGCGGGTGATCTCCAGTAATATATATGTATACGGGTCCCATGGCGCCTCAGAAAAGCCCTTCCTTCCCCAAAACGACTCTGATATCGCCTCCTAACAAAAGGGGATCAGGGATGTCACAGCTCCGCCCCTTTTTGCTAAGTAACCTACTTCTGGGTGTCACAGTCCCGCCTCTTTTCACTAAGTACCATACGTTTGGCTGTCACATCCCACACATAAGTACAGGGTCTCAGTCACCATGGAAACCATCAAACTTTGTTCTCAAATTACATCTGGATGGAGCTCTCCTTTAAGCATGGCCTGAGGTGGGGAGCGTGCGGTCACGTGACGGAGGCCGCCGCAGCCTCGGAGACTCACCGGAGATTTTCTTCTCCAGCATACCGCTTTCCCCAAAACGCCCCAGTGCAGCGAACAAGGCGAAGACTCCGGGAGGGTGAATGAGGGCAGGGGACGCATGCGCAGAAAGGTGACCGGCTCTTGCGGAAAGCTGCGCGTGCTCAGAGAGTCAGAGAGAGAGAGAGAGAGAGAGCGGCTCAGCATGGCAGGGGGCATGCGCGGAGTCGGGAAAGCCGCATTGCGCACGCGCGGACAGGCTGGTTGGCGGAAGTGACTGCACGAACCCGAGCGGTGGCTGGCAAACTGGCCTCTCTATGTGTAACGCAGCGGCAGCCATCTACTCTTCCGCCGCCGGAGGGCAGCAGAGTACGCTGAGAGCGCTTCATGTGTGGGATAGTATGCGAGGACTGGGAGACCACGTGACCAGAGCCGGTTCCATAGAGCTTCTATGAGCCCAAATATTGGATTTTTTTCCCAAATTCTTTTCTTTGTCAGAAATTGAATCCTCATTCACACCGCAGAGGGGTCGTAACCTTATCCAAGGTGGACATTTCAACAATTGTATTCAATATCTATAAATCTGCTTTTATCTATTAAAGAAATCCCCGGTGATCCTGCCGCGACGGTCCCTGTTTACGCACTTCCTGTTTGTGGTGAAAATGCTCTGTCCCTGTGTCCTAATTGTGCCCCTGCGTTGTCACCCTGTCACAAAGACTTCCAACTGACACTCACATTTTAGCGCACATTACACAGACGTGAAATGTGATCCACTGTTGTCACCATGAGAAATGCCATGCAGCCATCGCGGGAGAGCATGTGGCTGCAAAGAGGCCGCAGGTGATCGGCAGCACTGAGATGGAACAAAGGATTTTTTAAAATGGCGATTATGACGCACAGCATTTCAGCAAACCAAGGATCATATTCATAAGGCAGTGAATCTGATATTTAGCAAACACTCCAGTGAATGTTTGGTGAGAGCGACATTCACTGCTTTATAAATAGACTCCCCCGTGTCACCCATCACGGATCTATTGGTAAGAAATCTGCAGCGTCTATTCCAAATGTACATTATTTCTGTGAGAATGAACCCGCTGTTGGGGGAATGGGGCAAAATCGAATGTTTTCAGTGTCATTCCTCTTCTGCTCGAATGTTCTTCACATATTACGGGCAGGTTCATTCATAGAGCGAATTAGGAAATACCACAATATGGCCACCAGAGGGCGCTGAGGATCACAGGACATAATTAGTGTAATACCACATGATGGCCACCAGAGGGCGCTGAGGATCACAGGACATAATTAGTGTAATACCACAATATGG